GGCTGTGGGGCCGCAGGACCTCGGTGCGGCTCCGCGGACCGCGCTCCTGCAGGGACTGCGCGCTCCCGGTGCGCTTCTCGGCACAAGGCTCATCCTCGCCGTGATTCGTGTCCCGGTCATAACAAAGCCATCGTAAATGAGCGGCGCAAAGCCGGGGAGGGACGTGCCCTGTGCCTCGTGATCCGCAGGCGGAGGGGAGAGAGCCCGAGCGATTTGGGTTTTGTTTCCCGTTTAGCAGTGCCACGGCTGCCTACCCAGCAGAGCTGCCGAGAGCCAGAGGGATGGTGGTAGTTACGGGGCAGAGCAAAGTGAGCGGAGACCCGGATGATGCCATGTCGAGCTCGGATGCAGAGGATGATTTCCAAGAGCCAGCCACGCCGACCGCAACCCAGGCAGGACAAGCGCTGCCTCTGCTGCCTCAGCAGGTAAGGGCTCTCCGGTGCTGTTCGTCTGATAAAGGGCCACGTATCGCAGCACGGCAGCGCCAAAAATTCAGGATTTATTTCTTGGCGTATTTAGGGATGTCCTGTTCAGTTTCCACTAGTACCTAAATTGTTGAATAAAGCTAAGCCTCTTGAATTTACTTCAGCAGCTTGGCAGCATTGCTCACAATTTCCACCCGTGTTTGGACTTGACAAATGCAAGCAGGTGTTTATTCTGGTACCAAGGCTTCTTAAGCTGTGATATTAAGATTTTAGGCCTGCTTTAATCATAATGTAAATACAGAATCGCTGGATTTTTTAGGGTAAAGTATGGTATAATAGTGTAAAGGAAACAGGGGAGTAGTAACTGAGTGTAAGTCCCAAGGTGGTCTGAGATTTCCTACCATATATATATATATTTATTATATATATTTATTTACATATATATATACACACACACACATATATATACATATCTATACATACACACATGTGTGTGTCTATGTGTATGGATGTGTAAGGGGGATGAGGGGTGTTTGTTTTGGGTTTCCTTCTTTCTGCAGAAGAACCAAGAGAAGGCTTCACGCTTTTAATGAATATCTGGTTCTAAAGCTGGGTGATCGCTGCTGTTTCAGATTGCCAGCTAAATTGAAAACATTCACTGATTACACCCAGAAGCCAGCCAGATACTCAAGGTGTTAACCCTTGAACCTCCCTGTCTTGTGGCAGCGGGCCACGACCGAAGCATTTGTCGGACCAAATTATGCCCCAGCAGCAAAGACTCAGTGCTGTCTTGTAGGAGTTGTAACCCGTGTGGTGTGAACGTGTTTGCAAAGGGCTCAGGGCCCGTTTCTTCTGCAGTTTCCAGAAGTGGTCCCGCTGAACGTAGGCGGGATGTATTTCACAACAAGGCTGTCAACGCTCCGGCGGTACGAGGACACGATGTTGGCGGCGATGTTCAGCGGCAGGCACTACATCCCAACGGACGGCGAGGGCAGATACTTCATTGACAGAGATGGAACCTACTTTGGGTACGTACACCGTCCTCAGGAGCACGCTTTAGAAGTTGTTCCTGAAGAAAATTCTCTTTAGAGGACAATAAGTTCCAACATTTTATTTTTCCTTCTGTTTAAATCATCTTTGTGCAGCAGGTAAAGAAAAGTAGTTTTCAGTGTTTAAACTGGATATAGTGTGACTGGTAAAAAAGCACAAGCCTCAAAGAATTTTTTCCCTTTATTATTCTTTTTGCTGGTAGTGCCACATTCCTTCACCTCCAGGATTCCTTCTGATGTGTTTCGCTTTTGTTTTTAATTCTAATTAAACTCACCATGACCTTGCTGATGTTCTGTTTGAATCACTGAGACTGCTAGAAAAGGCAGGCAGCGTTCATGCGTTGATGTTCACGGGTCTTTGCCCAAAGCACGCTCTGCAATTGAGCTTGCACTTCTTGTTTCTCCTTTGTGAACATTTCCTTAATCTCTTCAACAGAGGAGGATTGAATTCTTTTCAAAACACATTTGGATTGTATGATAATCTGGGACACAAACAGATTAAGCCACGGTATTTATTTGAAGTTCCTTCACATTTCTTCATTTCTTCACTATTTATTTGAAGTTTCTTCACATTTGGCAATTTGGATTGTTAGAAAATCAGTTAACTGAATTTGTGATGTTACCAATCTGAATTCAAAATGCAGCAGGAACGGAGAGCCAGGTTAGCACTTGCTGTATTTATTGACATTCTAATGAAGATGGCAGCAGTGGTTGTTTCATTTGATATGATCAGTAATAATTTTGTTGGTTAATGCTTATAAATGGCCAAGAAGGCCAACGCCATCCTGGGGGGGATGAGGAGGGGTGGTTGTAGGGCAGAGAGGTTCTCCTGCCCCTCTACTCTGCCCTGGTGAGACCGCATCTGGAATATTGTGTCCAGTTCTGGGCCCTCAGTTCAAGAAGGACAGGAACTGCTTGAAAGAGTCCAGCAGGGCCACAAAGATGCTGGAGGGAGTGGAGCATCTCCTGCTGAGGAGCGGCTGAGGGAGCTGGGGCTCTTGAGCTTGGAGCAGAGGAGCCTGAGGGGTGCCCTCATTCCTGGGGATCCATTTGGAAAGGGCAGTGTCAGGAGGAAGGAGCCAGGCTCTGCTCTGGGATGGCCAATGCCAGGACAAGGGGCAGTGGTCCCAAGCTGGAGCACAGGAGGCTCAAGCTGAAGATGAGGACAAACTTTGTCAGTGTGAGGGTTATGGAGCATGGCCCAGGCTGCCCAGAGAGGTTGTGGAGTCTCCTCTGGAGACACCCAAAGCCCTGGCCGTGTTCCTGTGTGACTGCTCTGGTGATCCTGCTCTGGCAGGGGTTGCACTGGGGGAGCTCTCCAGGTCCCTTCCAACTCCTCATATTCTGGGATTCTGTGAATTGGACTTCTTTTCCTGTTAAAAATGCACCATCCACTCAGCTCGAATCCCGGCTCTGTGTGGCATAAAACATCCATGCGTACGATTCTCCAGGAAAATGGAAAAGATTATTTTGTTACAGACCTAAATTTGAAGTACAGTGACTATGATCTCTCTGCCTTGAAATCCCGTGTCCTCTTCTATTTTAAGTGGTTGCTCCGCCTCAAACTTTTTGTTTAAAATCCGATGGTATTTTTTGAATGAGCTTTGACATTACCAGAGGCAAAATGTGAAATGATGACTTGGAAACTTGAACGTGGCAAATATTTTTCAAAACATGTGCAAAATATGACTCACCCTTATTTCAGTTACCGTCTAAGCGTGAGGATTTCTGTCTCAATAGGAAAAAACCCAATGAACATCCCGCGTTTTCTCTCCCGCTTGCAACAGCTCTGGTGGAAACTTGTTCCTTAGTAGCAGTTTTGTATTTTTTTAGGGACATACTGAACTTTCTACGATCGGGTGACCTGCCATCGAGAGAGCGAGTGCGGGCGGTTTACAAGGAGGCACAGTATTACTCCATAGGACCACTGCTCGACAACCTGGAGGACATCCAGCCTCTTAAAGGAGAAAAAGTTAGACAAGCTTTCCTGGGCCTGATGCCGTATTACAAAGGTAAATAAACAGCGTAGTACCGACTGTTCCTTCTCGTGTGATTCGAGCAGTACCCGTGGTGCTTTCAGGTCTGCTTTCAAACTATTTCCATGGTATTTGAGAAGTTTCTTATGTACCTCTCATGCCCTTTAGGTCTTTGAGGTCTCCACGTCAGATTTGTTCCAGCTGCATCCAAGGATGTGGATTTTTATGCTTTCTTAAAAGAGAGTAAGAACTAGGCCAGAACATGCAGGGCTTCTTATTAAATGAGGAAGTTTCTGTATCTCTGCATTTGTTCTGTTAGGACCTGCAGTTGTGTGAGTTTGGGCGTATGGTAAGGACACACAGGTTCACATAACTGAGGTTGATTTAATTACTCTGTATCGAGCCACGTGCAGCTTCCCATTGCTGCTGATGTTATGTGAAGAATAACTTGTTAAACACTGAAGTAATATGTTTCACAGGAAAGAATTGCATTTGTTTTCTTTCAGTAGAAACTTCTCTTTCACTTTTCACACAGCATCACAGAATCGCTCGGTTGGAAAAGCCCTCTGAGATCATCACGTCCAACCGTTCCTGTCTACCCCCTAAACCATATCCCTAAGTACCTCGTCTACCTGCTCTTTAAACACATCCAGGGATGGTGACTCCACCACCTCCCTGGGCAGCCTGTGCCAGCTTCTGACGACCCTCTCAGGAAAGAACTTCCTCCTTATCTCTAACCTGAACCTCCCTTGGCACAGCTTGGTGCCGTTTCCCCTTGTTCTATCCCCCATCACCTGGGAGAAGAGCCCAGCACCCACCTCTCTCCAAGCTCCCTTGAGGCAGTTGGAGGTGGTGATGAGGTCTCCCCTCAGCCTTCTCTTCTCCAGGCTAAACAAGCCCAGTTCCCTCAGCCGCTCCTCATAAGGCTTGTTTTGTTGTTACTTTTGCCTTTTTCTTGGTTTTTAGATCATTTGGAACGGATCATCGAAATAGCGAAGCTTCGAGCTATGCAAAGAAAAGCAAGGTTTGCAAAGTTGAAGGTCTGCGTCTTCAAAGAAGAGATGCCCATCACCCCCTACGAATGCCCGCACTTCAACTCGTTGCGTTTCGAAAGGAGCGAGAGCGAGACGAAGCTTTTTGAACATCACTGCGAGGTGGACGTCTCTTTTGGCCCCTGGGAGGCTGTGGCCGATGTCTACGATCTCCTGCACTGCATCGTGACGGACCTGTCGGATCGAGGCATAGCTGTGGATCATCAGTGCATCGGGGTGTGCGACAAACACCTCATAAACCACTATTACTGCAAGCGTCCTATCTACGAGTTCAAGATCACCTGGTGGTGAGCTGTTTTCTCCGGGGCGGTGCAGGGATAAAAGGACTTGTAGACGGCAATTGCTTGTTTAATAATTTTGCAACGTGTCTCTGGAAACGCATTGCTGCTGCTAACGTCTGTCGGGGTCGGTCTGCTGAAGTGTTGGCTGGCGCTGAGCTGCTCAGCGAAAGGGGACCTGGTGCAGAGGTGGGGAAAACCTCTGAAATCTTGAAAAACCAGCCTGAAACGAGACTGCTGGCTCAGGTACCTTAACGAGGCACGAAACAAAACCACCTCGTGGGAATTCCGGAGAGGAGCGTCCGACGTCTTTTAAAAGGTGCCACCTTTTCAAAAGGGGTATTGCAGACCTCGCCTGCGTTGTCACAGAGCTGGGGTGCTGATAATGCTGACATCACCTAATAATGCTGACTTTTACCCGCTTCGAAATGGTTTAGTCACTACCAAAACTTAGCAGTTTATGAAATTAACACCCAGCCAGAGATCCTGGAAATGGGATTTCGATGTAACAGACCATTTAAAAAAGATAGGAGTATTCTCTACGTGTTCAGTGTTGTCACAATTAAGCTATGTTTCTTTTTTAATTAAGGATCCGCATTGTGAATTCTAATACTGTATTTTGATTATTCCAATTGTTATAAAAAGGAATAGCGGATTTGGAATACATTCCTTAATGCTTTTAGGAATCCTAACGGCTCATGAGAGACTTGTGCCTGTTTTTAGCCTTAGAAATTCTAAATGTTTACAGTATCTAAAAAAAAAGAAGCTCCATAGAATCAGGTCATTTACAAAGGCTTTTAAAAGAGAAAACCCTGTATGTGTGTTCCTACTGGCAGAAATATGAGGAATATTTAATGTATTTTATTTTATTACCGACTCTTTTTACATTCTCTGCTATTAAACTTTGTTCTAGAGTTAGAGTCAAATAATGACACCAGACAAGTGCTTCCTTCCCATCACTTTCAGTCAGTTAAGTCTTATTTTTAAGGTTCCTGGTGGCCCTTCCCGATGTAGCATCAGCAGG